TATTGTAAACCTCACTGTTTTGTATCGAATCTTCTTTACATCTGTCTCCTGACCGCAATTGTTGGTACCTGTTCCTCTTTTGTTGTTTGTGTCTTTTTTGATCTACTTCTGTAACATGTTTGCTCTTAATAAATTTTTGCAGCCTTTTAGGAGGAGGACGAGTCGAGTGGGTTGCGGTTGCTGCTCTGCGGGGTCGACACCTCGACTAGGTACCAAACACCTTGCGTTTTACATACGAACCCCTTTCTTTTTGGACTTGTTTCAATTTTACCCGTGCTCCACCCCCTTTTCTGGCGGAGACTTCGGAACGGGGGCCACCCGTCGACGATATGTGACGCCGATTTTCGTTGCCAAGCACTTTTCTGAGTTCTCTTTGTATTGAGTAGTCACGTTTTTGCATATCGAGCCACCAGTATCCCCGGATGCCTCCACTCGGAGGCGGGTCGGGGTTAAGCTTCGCTTAAATTCTTCTAAAATATTGTTAAATTGCTTACATATATGCATGCGGACTTACCTACCATTACTATTAAAATTGTTTGCTTTTCTTAAAAAATTATTTAAGTGTCTAATTTTGAGTTTCTTTCTCGCATTCTCTGGTTCAATTATCAATGTTTACTTCAATAAGCATAAAACATTTCTTTTTTATTTTAATAAACAAAGAACTTTTTTTTCCTTATAAAACTTTCTTCTTTCTTTTTATAAAGTTAAATCAACACGACTTTTGGATCGTTAAAAAATTTTGAAACAACAATTTGTAAATATTTTAACTAACAGTTAAGAAACATTTCAACTTAAAGATCAGCCTCAAATAAATTATTGGAGGCAGAATAATACAGGAGATAGAGAAATTGCCCCTCAATGAGTCGATTCATGTTAGAATTCCAGTGCAACAAGAATTTGTAAGTTGTACATATTTTAACAAGCAGTTAAGATATAATTCGACCTAGTCACACAAACTCAAATAAATTATTTGGGCTAAAATGATACAGGGGTTAGAGATCTTGCCTTCTCAATGAGTCTATCCAAGTTTAAATTCCACTGAGAGTTGTGCGATTCATTTACTGCTCTTGGTTCTCACCGATCACATTTTTGTTTGATATGAAATATCCTGAGGTAGACATATTACGGGTTAAAAATTAAAATCCACTTTCCGCCTGAATAATTGCATGAGATTTTCATATTTTTACTTAATATGCACAACTTAATAATAGTTAATTCCATTAAAAAGTCGCAATGTCTAATCCAAGAGCTGTCCATTTTCTGGGGTGTGTTTAAAGTTACAAAGATATGGAGTATTGATAACTGTATCATTGATAGAGGTCGGCAGTTCAACGTCGCTTAGCCTTTTGACGCAGAATTTTTATTAAACATAATTTTCATATCTTTTTTCATTATTTCGTATTAGTTAAGGTTAAAATAAAATGAAAAATATTATTCGCATACTTTAATAATTTATGGTTATGAAATACCGGTGTCTTTTACTGAGTAAATGGTAAACATTTCCAACACGGCTCACTTCCAAACAACAATTTCTCAAATCTGCATCTGTTTGCAGTTATTTAGATCTAAGA